ATGTTCCTGTCTTCATGTTCAATCTCTCCAACATCAGCTTCTTTTCTGTTGGTGTAAACAACATTCATGGTACTCTTCCTTCTAACCTAGCTATTACGATGCCATACATTGAATTCTTTTCTGTAGCGGGAAACCAAATCTCAGGACAAATCCCACTTTCAATATCCAATGCCTCAAATCTCAATGCACTTCAATTTCAAGATAACAAATTCAGTGGAAATGTGCCTTCATAAGAAAAGCTGGATGAGTTGTCTTTACTTCAACCAAGTGGAAACCATTTGGGGCATGAGAGGGAAGGTGACCTCAACTTTCACTGCACTTTAGTCAATAATACCAAACTAAAATTTCTATTTATAAACCAAAATAATTTTGGAGGGCTATTCCCCACATGCATTAGTAATTTTTCAATCACTCTTTTGCATAAGGATAGAACAGAACAAAATATCAGGAAGAATCCGGATGGGATTGTAAATCTCTTCAATTTAGAGGTGATAGCAGTATACCAAAATCAACTATCAGGTCCCATTCCCCTTCATATTGGGAGGCTTCAGAAGCTATACACATTTGTTGCTCATAGGAATTTTCTCCAAGGGACTATTCCCCCTTCCTTTGGAAATTTAACAGCTTTAACCAAACTCGCTTTAGATGTTAACCATGTTCAAGGCAGCATTCCTTCTAGTCTAGGCAACTGCCAAAATTTGATTGGAATGGATCTTTCTTACAACAATCTTTGTGGACCAATACCCCATGAAGTATTTGGCCTCTCATCCTTGTCCATTGAACTAGACTTTCATCAAACTATTTAACTGGTGAACTTCCTGTCGAAGTAGAAAAACTGAAAAATCTAGGTCGCTTTTATGTTTCTCGAAACATGTTATCTGGTTTGCTTCCAAGCAGCCTTGGAAGCTGTGTTAGCCTAGAGCAGCTGTTCTTGAATGGGAATTTGTTTGAAGGTCCAATTCCACCATCGTTCAGTTCATTGAAAGGCCTCATGCATTGGATGTATCTGACAATAATCTTTATGTTAAGGTTCCAGAATTTCTTGTAAGCTTTGGGGCATTGGAGTATTTGAATCTATCTTTTAATGATTTTGAAGGAGTTATACCGAATGAAGGAGTCTTTAAGAATGCAAGTGCTACATTTGTTGAAGGAAACAATAAGCTTTGAGGAGGCATCGCTGAGTTAAACTCATGGTTTTCATAACCGGACCTGTTAGTGAATCGGTCATGCTACCGGTTCACTGGTTCAACCGATCGAACCGGTTCGATCGGTCGGAAGAATCGGACGACGTCATAATTATTTTAAAAATTAAATAAAAATACCAAAAATATTTGATAAATTTTTTTTTATATCACAAGTCATATTCAAAGCAAGTTATAACATATATAAGTTAAAACCCATAAAATCAAGTGAAACAAAATAATTCAAATTAACTACAACATAATATTTAAGGTAAAACATATTAAATAATAAATATAATTATATAATTATAATCAAAAAATAAATTTGGGGCTAAAAAATCATAACAAAATGATATTGTTTGGTTTAATTTAAAAAAAAAACAATCTCACATGGCTAAAAAACATAGAAGAGCATCCCAAAAGCCTAAAGAGTAAAAATATGAGAAAAAAACAATCTCACATGGGTAAGAAACATAGAAGAACATCCCTACTAGCTTCTATAAATAATAGAGGTGATTTAGCATTCAAAATCATGGAGCCTTTTGGTGAGCATTGAGTGAACTATTATTTCACTTCAATCAAGCTCGAATTTTAGGCTTTAATCAAGCTTCTAAATTTTTTTTGAGTTCAAGCCTTTTTGAGTTCAAGTTTCAATATTATATTTCGAGTTCGAGTTGAACTTGATAATTTTTAGCTTACTTTTAAAGTTTTCAAGTTCGAGTCGAGCTCAATAATACTCGAGTTTGACGTGGCTCGTTTAACAAACGACGTCGTTTGGTTTAATTTTTTTTAAAAAAAAAACAAAACAAAATTGGCGGTTTTTTCCGGTTTTCATTCGGTCCGGTTCGAATGGTTCAGCGGTTCTGGCCGGTTCACTAGTAGCAGTTCAACCAGTGTAGATTGAACCGGACTAGGCAACGTTCTCGGTTGAATCGGCCGGACCGGTCCGGTTTTCAAAACACTGGTTAAACTTGTTTAGATGTAATTCAAAAACTTCATCGACCACTCGTCTACAATGAAGAATTTCAATTGTTGCTCCTATTTTAGGAGTGACTTTGATATTGTTAATTCTTCTCATCTTGTTGTTTAGAAAGAAGAAAGAACAACAGCCAACAGAAACTTATGCTGAAAATTCATTTTTACAGTTATCATACCAAAGCATTGTAAGGGCTACCGATGGATTATCAATTAAAAATTTGGTTGGTTTAGGAAGTTTTGGTTCGGTATACAAAGGAAATCTTAATGAGAGTGGAGAAGATATTGCTGTAAAAGTGCTTAATCTGCAGAATCGTGGAGCGTCGATGAGCTTCTTGGCTGAATGCGAGGCCTTGAAGAAGATTTGACATTGGAATCTTGTCAAGGTATTAACAGCCATTTCAGGTGTTGATTATCAAGGAAATGATTTTAAAGCCTTAATTTATGAGTTCATGGTAAATGGAAGCTTAGAGGACTGGGTTGCATCAATCTACTGTTATGAATGAACCAAAGACGATGGGAATCCTGAACTTCTTCCAAAGGTTAAGTGTGGCCATAGATGTTGCTCATACACTCGAATATTTACAACGCTATCGTGAAACACAAATCATTCATTGTGACCTCAAGCCAAGCAATATTCTACTCGATGAGGAAATGGTTGGACATCTAGGTGACTTTGGATTGGCAAAAATAATTTCTGCATACATGCTTAACTATTCTTCTAATCAGTCAAGCTCCCTTGGGTTAAGAGGAACTATTGGTTATGCTCCACCAGGTCAGTTCACTTTATTTATTTATTTATTTATTTATTTTATGTTCTTATAATCATTCTTTACATATTTTTCATCTTAGCATAACATAATCTAAAACAAAACATATAATCTGGAAGCAGTTTTCCAAATGTTACTATATAATTCGTCATAAATTGATTGTAGAATATGCCATGGGAGGCAAGGTGTCAACAAAAGGTGATGTGTACAGTTATGGCATTCTTTTGCTAGAGATGTTTATGGGAAAAAAACCCGACTCATGATTCTTTCAAACTCTTGCTGAGCCAGGCTATGTCAACGGTTTTAAGGACATACCCATGAAAACTAAAATTTTTGTCAGAAGGGTAGTTGTGTGAAAATATATCATCGTTTACACAAACGATATAACAGTTCAAAGACATCACGTCTATTGGACAGTTAGTAAAGTAAATATGTTGTCACAAGGGAATGTTCAAAGGAAGACATCTATCTATCATATTCAATTATCGATTGTAGAGTCTATTACCACGTCGAGTCAAAATGGTTTTAATAAAATGATCAATTTAATTCATGTGGGGATTGTAAAAATAAATCGATAATATTAGAGTCTTGAATGAGAAATTGATCTAAACGTTATTGAGGAAAATGTGGAGTAAATAGTTGGTTTGTAAATGTGCAGACATGCACGACATGCACTTTGTGGGTAACGTGAATGTCGGAACCGTTCTAGCTCTTTGTGGGCTTGAGGATATTTTAACTCAAATATGAGATATTTTCCTCAAATAGATAATATATTTTCAAAATCTATTTTGGAATTAAAATGATAAATATTAAAATGTTATTTTAATTAAAACAATAATTTTAGAAATTATTTAATTGCTTGATTCTCATTAATATTTCATTAGGTCAATTTTTTTTAATTGTTCACAATGTGAACCCTATAAATACTGTGTTAACCTACTAAGTTAAATACAATTCAAAAACAACTCAAAATCCAATTAAAAAGAATTATTTTCTCTATTTTTTAGTGATAGGCGAAGGCAATAATTAGTTCGCAATCTCAACAGTTGTGCTACTGTGCACTGATCATCTCGTTGTTGTATCTTAGGAGACAAACGATCAAAGATCTCATGCATCATGGAGTAGCCGAAAATATGTCTTAAAGAAATTACGTATTTGCAGGCCTTAAGTCGGTTTCAATCGTTGATTCTATACTCTTTTTAATCATTAAATAGAATAATTTTCTATGTTATTAATCGTTTTGTTTTATTTCATGTACAAGAATTTTGCGACGAGATCCTAACGAAGAGTTGAATGTCGTTTACCGCAACTTGTATGAATCACTATAGAAGTAAATTGTGGATCTATAAAATATTTGATTTTTATTTTTTTCATCTCGGATTGTTATACATCTAACACATATTTTATTAGACGCATTTTGAAAGATATAGTTGATGTGATATATTTTTTTAAAAATATGATTAATATAATATGTTTTTATATTGCATAAAATTAAAAACATGATATTTTAATAAATAATCAGCTAATATTATTTTTGATTTTTAAGTTTTTTCTGTGCTATATAGGTAAAATATTTTGATTTTGACAACTATTTTTCTTATATTTTTTTAAAATTACAAATATTAGAAGATTATACAAAATAATATTATAGAACATGAAATAAGTACATGAATGTTATATAAAATTTTATGATTTTTAAAAAATCAAATATATATTGCTTTTGCTAGCTACAATACGATATAATATCATAATATCACATTGTTAAAAATACTTTTTTTATTAAATTTAAAAACTAATGTGTATATAAATAATTAAGGATCAAATTGAAAAACAATCAAGTTTAAGGAGCAAAAGGTAACGTGTCCCTTAATTATGTGATATCAATAAACCACACGCAAGTTTTGCCGGGAAATCTAACGAGGGCAAATCAGTCAATAGGAAAAAGGAAGTGACTGAGTCGTTATTTTCAATCAAATTTAAGGGTAATTTAGGAGCAATAAATGAGGGGTAGGTAATTTACTTTAAATAATATTTTTAATTTATCGGACGTGAAAATTGATTCAATTTCGGTTTAATAGCAGCGTTGAGGTACGGACGCCATGCTTATCTCTCTCTCATCCTCCTTTTCTCTCTGTAGGGCTTTCGTTGTCTCATATCGGCTCTTACCTTCATGTTCTCACTTTCTCGCCTTAGATTTTCTTTCCAAACAAGCCTCCAACCAAGAAGCGCCTAAAAAATCCTAGAAGATTTCACTCTTCGGTTCTACCCGATTGAAGAAAACCTTTCGGAGGCTGGAGATCGTTTCAACGGAGTTGGACCCGTTTACTGAGACCGCGAAACCCGGTTTGGTAAGTTTGTCATAGAAAAAGCGTATAAGTTTATTTGAAGTTTTCTGGAACTGAGAAGCCCTAGTAAGAAGATTATTTTCTTTATTCTTAGGTTTTTGGAATATAGGTTTGTTTAGGGTTCGGTAATTCGGGTAAAAGAAGAAAATCAGTGGCGTTTTTGTTGGGGTGGGGCTGCCTCATGCGATTTGATGCCGCCTGAACCGTTGCCTTGGGATCGGAAGGATTTTTACAGGGAGAGGAAGCACGAGAGGACGCAGTCGCTGCCTCAGCAGTCACTGACAGAGCGATGGAGAGACTCCTCTTTGATGTCGCCTTATCAGCATGGGTCTTTTAGAGAATTTACTCGTTGGGGATCCGGCGACTTCCGTCATCCTCCTGGTAAGTTATTTTTATCATTTTTTTCCGTTTGTTTCACCCGTGGTTTCTTATTTTAAAATTTAAATCCTCGTGATTTTATGGTGTTAGGAATTAAGGACTGGTCAGATCCGTGGGTTTTAAGGACTTTTTTTTTAGTTTGTTTTGGGAATATTTGATTTTTTAATGTCTTGTATTACTTGAGATTATATATATATCTTCATTCTAAGTAATGGGGATTTTTCTTTTTTCCCAGGTAGTTTTTTCCTGCTCGTTTTGCTTTATTTAAGTAATCAACGTTCTTGACTCTAGGTAGGGTTTTCTTTTCATTAGGGATAGGAATTTTGATTACCATTTTTCAGTCAGAAGAACATAGACTTACATTCTGATAAATTGAGATTCTTATTTTAATTTATAGTATTCTACTTGGGTTTTTTTTTTTTGGGTTTTATGGAGGATTTTAGTTTTCTACTAAATATTTCTCTCTTTTGGGTGTATGAATTTTTGACCCCTCCCATTTGGAGGATATACATACGATGCACATGTTAATATTTGTTACCTTTTCTTTGTTTCTTTAATTTCTATGAAGGTCGTGGTAGGCAGGGCAGTTGCCACCTGTTTGCTGAGGAAAATGGTGGTCATGGTGGATATGTCCCATCTCAAGCAGGCAACAAGATCATGGATGATGAGAATTTCCATCAGTTAGATTCTCATGTAGATGGGAAATATGGTCGAAACAATGTGGAAAACAACAGTGTGTCTTATAGCCAGAGAGATTGGAGAGGTCATTCTTGGGAAAGCTGCAATGGCTCCCCGAGCACTCCTGTGAGACCTCATCATGTCGATAATGAGTGGCAGTCAGTGGATGATATGCCATCCTACCATTCTCATACTCATTCCAACTTTGTAAACTCATGGGATCAAATTCAAAAAGGCCAGCATGATAATAAGCCAAGTTCTGTACATGGGTTAGGCCCTGGACAAAACTGTCAGAGAGAGAGTTCAGTAGGCTCAATTGATTGGAAGCCTCTGAAGTGGAGTCGCTCTGGAAGCTTGTCTTCACGGGGGTCAGGGTTTAGCCATTCAAGTAGCTCAAAGAGCTTAGGAGGTTTAGATTCTGGTGAAGGGAAACTTGAGTTGCAACATAAAATTTTGAACCCCATCCAGTCTCCTTCTGCGGATGCAGCAACATGCGTCACATCTGCCGGACCTTCTGATGTGACAATGTCAAGAAAGAAGGCACGCCTTGCATGGGGTGAGGGTCTGGCCAAGTATGAGAAAAAGAAAGTTGAAGGCCCTGATACCAGCACAGGCGGAGGTGGTTCTAGAATTTCTGTCTGTAATGCAGAGTGGAAAAATTCTCTGAGTTCTAACTTGGCAGTTAAGAGCCCTGGAGTCCTTAGATTTTCTGACTGTGCTTCTCCTGCAACTCCTTCATCTGTTGCTTGCAGTTCCTCACCTGGTAAATATTAGATTTTCTTATATATTTATTCAGTTTTAAGGAGATTACCTAAAATAAGTATATATTTGGAGTTGCACAGTCTTGGCATGATTCTTTATTTAATTATGTTCCTGATTTGTTGCTACCTCTCTTCCTACCAGACCTTTTGTAACATGAAATGTATATTTTTGGATGATGTATAAAGCAGTCACAGGTCACAAGTGTTTTAGCAGGTCCCCATGCCAATTAATTATTTTTGGAACACTGATACTGTTATTATACATTCGATACACCTTTTTAAGGAAGGCCATAACAAAATTCAACAGTTATATGATTCTTTTCGTTGGCATGGCAATTTGCTGATTTCCCTTGCTTTAGGAGCCATTATTTGAGTGCTTATACATTCTTGACACTCCACTTCTCCCTCAGAGTAAATACTATCTGTTAACTCTATGGTTTTATGAGGTGATATCAATTTTCCTTTTACCAGTTAGGTTTCACTTGTCGATGCATGAAGCCGATCTATGTTGAATTTTAGGGCCTTGTCATTAAGGATGAGAATGTCACATGTCTGGCTGGATTGGTTGTTCCCATTTGAGAATTTTACCCATGTGTTAGAAGAATTGGGTGTTTATCTCACATCTAATCAAAATTGGATTTCTTGTGGTCGTATATTCAATTTTGGGTCCTTCCACTTATTAATAGTAGATTTTATATTGGATGTTTGCATTTATGGTTTCCAAACCGTGTCCGATTTAGAGTTTTTTTCTTTTTTCTAATTAATAGGAGAATATCAAATTGCTGGATGCTAAATGATTCCCTTCCTCCCTGTATCTTTATTCTTGCTTTTGATTTAATGAGAATGCTTCTCATTTGTTACCTCAATGTTCTTGGTTGCAGGTTTGGAAGAAAAGTCATTTGGCAAATCTGCAAATATTGATAATGATATTAGTAATTTATGCGGTTCTCCAAGTATTAGGTCTCAAAATCATCTAGGACCCTCTTTTAATTTAGAAAAGTCGGATATCAATTCAATTATTGATATGGGCACTTCTCTTATTAATTTGCTTCAACCTGATGATCCTTGTACAATAGATTCTTATTTTGTTCGCTCTACTGCAATAAGAAAGTTGCTACTTTTGAAAGGTGATGTTTTGAAGGCTTTGGAGATGACTGAATCTGAAATTGATTCACTTGAAAATGAATTTAAGTCTTTGAAAGGTGATTCCAGACAGGAATGTCCTTGCCCAGCAACATCTAGTTCTCTTCTTGTTGAGGAACATGGGAAAGCTTGTGGGGAACAAGAGGCAGCATCCGGTATGATCTCTCGACCTGCCTCTTTGAAGATTGATTGTTGTGATGCTCTTGTGGAGAACCTGCACCTCTCTAATGGTTCCCAAGAAGAAGTTAATGATGACGTTAAAGTTGGGGATATTGATAGTCCTGGAACCGCAACATCTAAATTTGTGGAACCATTGTCATTGGAGAAAGCAGTTTCTTCATCTGATATTGTTAAGTTCCACGAATGTTCTGGTGATTTGGTTTCTGTTCAATTGACGACAATCGAGGAAGTGATTTTAGGTACTGGTTCAGGTAATGAAGGGACTGCGACTACCATTTCTGCAGAAGTCAGTGTGCTAAAAAAGATTGACAATGATGTACTTGTTTCAGAATATTCATGCTCTGATGCTGGTGGAGAGAATAATATGTACAAAACAATATTGGCCACTAATAAGGAATTGGCTAATTTAGCTTCTGATGTATTTAATAAACTATTGCCAAAAAGATTCAATGGTATTGAGATTTCTGAAATTGCTAATGTAGCATGCACACAGTCTGATACTGCAATCAGGGAAAAAATTGCAATTCGGAAGCAGTACTTAAGATTTAAGGAGAGAGTTCTGACATTTAAATTCAAAGCATATCAGAATGCATGGAAGGAAGACATGCGTTTGCTTTTGATGAAAAAATGCCGTGCAGAGTCTCACGGTGGAAGTTCTTCCATTCGTTCTCGAGTTGCATCTCCTGGTAATTTTTTGACCCCCCCTGTTTGGAATGTTTTATATTTGATGCCAGTTTGTTGTGATTTTGCATGTGGTTTGAGTGGCATTGTTTCAAAATATGTGAGTCTTGTATATTGTTTCCTCTTCTCTTATCAGCTATCTCTTTCCACTTACCTTTTATCTTTGATCATTTGTCTCCTGGGATGCATATAAGGTGAAATGTTGAGGATAATTTTTCATAAGATTAAATTGTGATACTACATCTTTTTCATTTTTTATTGGGAATGAAATTACTATAGAAGTGTTGCTGAAAATCATTATCGAGAATAAAGGAAAAACTTCAATGAAAAAGGGGACTATAAGCTAGGTTTCTATTTTCAATAGAGATAAGTGGATAATCAAGTTTCAGTTCTCTCAGGCCAAGTAAATAGATGTTGAAATTTTTTATGATAAAGGTAAGTCAAGAGAACTGTGTTCAGTTGAAATTGAATCTAATATTAATCAACACTATCAAGGTATATAAAGACTTCCATTTCAATCCTTTTCTGATAAAGAATTGCACAATGCTAGTTCTGGGAAACAGTTCATTGTTCTGTATTATGAAATCTCTGTTTGTGGTGGAAGATGCACTGTTTGACATGTTGCAAAGTTCAAGTTATCTCTTGGTTACAAAGGGCTTTTATATGCATTTTCATAAATGACCAATCATTAATGGTATTAGAGATTCTCGGAGAAAATAGAAAGCAACCATACTTTGAGCTTTTGTCTGGTGAAACTCATTGCATTTATTATGATTGCTTGAAATTTATTATTTTGGTGTTACTGCATTCCCCTCCAATGTTGATATTTGTAAATTGTAGGATTGTTATCTTCCTTAATGCCTTATGTATTATATGCGCTGTTAGCACTGATTGCTTGTCTGCAAGAATATTCTTATCATGGTTTTCAAAAACTACTTTAAAATTGAATGTTTTAGACATAGATGGGATTTGCTTGATTGCTTCGGTTCTCCTGGCAAGAATTGATACTATCTTCTTATATTTTGTTTTTCACTAAAATGCTTTCATTTAAGAAAAAAATGTTACTCCTGGTGGTTGTAATTTTTTATATTTCCTTGTTAGTATATTAAGTCTCTGGTTTTTGACTTGGATTTTCTTTAAATTTTGTCTTTTTTCCTTTCTGTTCTTGAAGATTGTTTTTTTAAAGATGAAGTTATCTGTGATGATGTGCATGATTAACATTTGGGGTTGTTTCTGTAGCTGGAAATCTGGTCCTGGAGCCTTCAGAGATGATCAATTCTGCTAGCAAACTACTACCAGATTCCCATGTCAGGATTCACAGGAATGCTTTGAAAATGCCAGCATTAATTTTGGATGAGCAAGAGAAGAAGGTTTCAAGGTTTATCACTACTAATGGATTGGTTGAAGATCCATTTGCTATTGAGAAGGAAAGAGCTTTGATCAATCCTTGGACATCAGAGGAGAAGGAAATTTTTATAGATAAGTTGACTGCCTTTGGGAAGGACTTTAGAAAAATTACCTCCTTTCTTGATCACAAGACTACTGCAGACTGTGTGGAGTTCTATTACAAAAATCACAAGTCTGAATGTTTTGAGAAAACAAAGAACAAGAATGATCTCGGTAAGCAGGGGAAGTCTGCTGTGAATACCTACATGTTGACATCGGGGAAAAAACGTAGCCGTGAAAATGCTGCATCCCTTGATGTTCTCGGTGCAGCTTCAGTTTTAGCAGTTCATGCAGAAAGTAGCATTCAAAACCGGGATAAATATTCTGGTAGGATCACTTTAGGAGGGCGGTTTGTTTCTAAAACATCTCAAGTTGATGATAGCATTGCTATAAGGTCATCTAATTTTGATATTGTTAGAAGTGATGAAGATACAGTTGCTGCTGATGTTTTAGCTGGTATATGTGGTCCTTTCTCTTCAGAGGCAATGAGTTCCTGTATAACTAGTTCTGCCGGTCCCGGAGAGAGTTACCATCCTGACAGGAAGTGCCACAAAGTTGGTTCTATGGTTAAAAGGCCTTCACCATCTGATGTCTTGCAGAATGTTGAGGATACCTGTTCAGATGAGAGTTGTGGGGAAATGGATTCTGATCATTGGACTGATGAGGAAAAAACCATCTTTATACAGGCTGTCTCCTCTTATGGTAAGGATTTTGAAATGATTTCACGTCGTGTTGGTACAAGATCCAAGAATCAGTGCAAGGTTTTCTTTAGCAAGGCTCGTAAATGCCTTGGACTTGACTCGATGCATCAGAGAACCAGAAACACGGGTACTCCCATGAGTGATGATGCCAACGGTGGTGGAACTGATACGGAAGAGGCTTGTGTCCTAGAGAGTGCAGTTATTTGTGGTGATAAGTTGGGATCTTATGTGGAAGACAACTTACCTCCAACTATTGTGAGCATGAATGTGGATGAATTGGATCCTACCATGGAAGCGAGTTTGCCAACTGATCTGATCATATCAGAGGGAAATGATGGGAGGATAGTAAATTGCAAAAATTCTGAGGCAGTGGAATATATTTTTTCTGATGTAGACCAGACAGGGCCAGTTTCCGAAGATGGTACTGATGATATTGATGACCATGATACAAAATGCAGTACAGAGACTGGCAGTCAAATTATATGTAGGCTGGATTCAAATGAAACTGGTGGTGAGTCCATTGATAAAAATTTCAACACTGAAGGTCTGCATAAAGTCCGGCTGGATTTAGGTTCTGCTGGGAAGCCTTTTATCTTATTATTACCAGATGAAAGCTCTTTTGCTAAAATTTCTGATTTACATGATTCTGATACCTCTCAATGTGAGAACATACACAACCAAAATAGGTTGTCACCAACACTTGCTTCTCCCGAGACGGAAGACAAACAGGTTCATAAAGTTGTTAGTGGACACGAACCTGAGCAATTTTCTGGAAAGCCTTTGGTGGATCTTGCTGATTTGCAAATCCCAACTGTGAAAGAAATAAATGTTGATGTGGGTTGTAGTCAGTTGCCTGAAGTTAAAAGGCATTCAACATCAGAAAGGGGTGTTACCGGCTCATTTTTGGCCCAAGATTATCTTTACAAGTGCAGTGGTTTAAAGCCAGCAGCTGAGCTTCCACAGCTGGTGCAGAAATTAGAGATAGCAAACAGTAGGCAGAAATCCCACTTTCGGAGTCTGTCAGATGCAGAAGAACCTTGCAGTGATGGTAATGTCAAGCTGTTCGGTCAGATACTCAAATCCAGTTCCCATGATGACAAAACGGTGGCTCATTTCTCGAAACCAAGTGCAGAATATTCAGATTCGAACTTGTCAGGTCGTAATGGAAATGGAAATTTCTCAAATGTTGGTGAAAACATTATTTTTGCACCTGAAAATGTTCCCAATGGAAGTTATGGTTTCTGGGATAGCAACAGGATACAAACTGGGTTGTCATCTTTGCCAGACTCTGCTATTTTAGTGGCAAAGTATCCTGCTGCATTTGTCAATTATCCTTCACCCTCATCTCAAAGGGAGCATCAGGCATCGCAGACTGTTGTTTGGAATACCGACAGAAACTTGAACGGCGTTTCAGTTATCCCAGGGGAAATAAGCAGCACCAGCACCATGGTGGATTATCAAGCGCGCAGGGGCCATGATCATACCAAGGTCGTACCATTTGCTGCAGATGTAAAGCATCATCACCAAGGAATGTACTCGGAGATGCAAATACAAAATGGCTATGATGCAATCTCACATTTATCGCAGCAGGGAAGGGGAATGGTTGGAATGAGTGTCATGGGGGGCTCCTGCTCTAATCTCTCTGATCCCGTAGCTGTACTTCGGATGCAGTTTGCGAAAACAGAAGCATATGGTGGGCAGAGTGGGAGCAGAATGAGGGAGGAAGAGTCGTGGAGAGGTAAGGGGGACATGGACATACGCAGGTAGTAGATACCAAATAATTCTTTGCTGCACGCTGTATAATATTTTTTTTTTCTTTGCATCTGTTTTTTGATGAAAATCGTGACGGGGACCTTTTTGGTAGAAGGAAAATATATATTAGGTGCCTTTAGAAGTATTTGTAGCAGCTGTTTTTGTACTTGTTGTATTTGATGGGAAATACACAAAAATAATATGTGAAAGATTAGGAGGGGTAATCCTGCTATTTTTCTGTTTACGCAAGGGTCGTAAACGATATACTTTGTTCACTAGTTATTCAGAAAGAAATTTCGATTTTTGTTTAGATATACCTGAAGGAACATTTTTCGTTGGGTTACTATTATCATTTGATCTATTGTTTGATGGAAAAAGGGAGCATTGGATAGTTGGTGAGATTTTATTTTCTTTTAGTTGGAAGGCACTTTTGTAGTGGCGGAATGGATTGCCGTTGCTTTGAGTTTAGGGTTAACTGAATTCGAAAAGTTTTTGGGATTAAATTGATAAAAAAAAAATATTGGAGATGTTTTTTTTTCTTTCTAAAATAGGATTAAATAGAGAAAAATAACCCTTATTTTATCTAAAGTGTGTAAATTTACTTGTACTAATTGAAAACATGCATTATGTTTAAGCATAATATAATTTTATTTAATTTAATAATGATCCATCTTATTTTACAATTAAATAGATTATTATTATTATTATTATTAATTGGAATTGTTGAATAAAATAAATAAATAAAATAATAGGTTATTAAGGGTGGTTCTTTTTCTTTTTATTAAAAATTATATAACCCATATTTACCAGGATGAAATCAAAGAAATAAAAACTTGGAAGAAACCAATGATGTCATATTACAAAACACTGCAAAATGAAACCCCAATATGCTCGAGCCAAGATAAATGATAAAAATGGCATCATTTAGCTTTCTCTGTTGAAATCATCGGTATACTAAAATAAGAATCAAATGGTCTTCTGGTTATTTCTTGAACCTTCTCCTGCATTGAAGAATTGGATGATGATTCTGAATTCTGGTCTTGAAAAAAAGAAAGAAAGGTACCAAGTAGCTCAGAGACCTGCTAAAGAGCAAATGAACATCAGCTGATGAAACTCTTTATAAAAGCAGAGCAGCTTATCAAGCATAGTGAACTTTATGGCCGATGCATAATAACAAAATTACCCCCAATATTTGCACAAATGGTTACTTTGGCCCTTATTCTTCTTTTTCTTTGAAGCATTTTAGTCCAAACGTTTCAATTTTTGGTCAAAATAATTTTTTTATGAAGATCGTTAGTTGACTAACAAAGAGCATTTTAGCCCTAAACGTTTCAATTTTTGGTCAAAATAATTTTTTTATGAAGATCGTTAGTTAACTAACGATCAACATCATTTTGACTTGACATTTTCACATGTGCTTAATTGGTGATGTAGGTTATGCAATAGATAAGTTAGTATTTTAATATAACACTAACTCTTAGAAAGTTAGATAGATAAGGATAACTACTAAGTAGTTTACTTCTAATAGAAAACTTACTCCTAACTTTTCCTATAAAAATATGTATTTTCACCATTCACAATATATAATAAAAAGAGTTCCTTTTCTTCTCCACTATGTTGTTTAATCTTTATCAACATGGTATCAACTAGGTGACCGATCCTTCACCTAAATCTAGCCGATTTTTTTCCTTTTTTTTACCCTAAATCTAGCCGTTGATCATGAATTCCACCACTTATTCATCGGAGGTCACTTCGGAAATCCTCATTAATTCACCCAATTCTGATGTTTCTTCAGCCTCTATCACCCGTCACCGATTGAATGGTGACAATCATATCCCTCACTCTCAAACTACTACTCGGCCAAAGAAGGGGAGACTTTGGTATGACTATTGTAAGAAGGTTGGCCATCTGCAGGATTCCTGTTGGAAATTACATGGCAAGCCTATTGATGGGAAGTCTTCAAAACAACATCAACAACGTGATACTCAAGAAAATTGTGCTGTGAATACTGATTTACAAGGAAGTTCGTTTACTAAAAAACAAATGGAAGAGTTGCAGCAGTTTTTTAGTCAGTTAAACACTCATTCCCAATCAGTACCTGCAGGTAGAATTCCTTCTGCTACTTTGGCTAATACATCCACCACTCCTACTTGGGTTGTGGATTCTGGTGCAAGTGATCATATGACATGTGATCTTCAGCTCTTTCACACTTTTCATGTCAACTCGTCTATCTCTCATATTCGAACAGCTGATGGTTCTCTATCCAGTGTTGCCAGTCATGGGTCTATTCGAATAAATCAGGACATTTTGTTATCTTATGTTCTTTATGTTCCCAATCTTACTTGCAATCTTATCTCCATTAGCAAGTTGTCTGCCGATTTATGTTGTATCACGAAATTTAACTCTGATTTTTGTGAATTTCAGGATTCTAGCTCAGGGAAAGTGATTGGCAGTGCTAGGCTTTGTGGGGGTCTTTACCTACTTCCAGCAACGTTATTTTCCCACCCATCTACTTCCTACCATGTTATACAACAATTTCCTTTACTTGAACCTTCAACCGATGTTATGTTATTGCATTTTCGTTTAGGACATCCCAGTTTCTTTTATCTTGCAAAATTGTTTCCACATTTGTTTGTCAATAAGAGTCCAAAATCTTTTTCTTGTGATATTTGTCCACTTGCTAAACAAACTAGGAGTGTTTATCTACCTTCTCCATATAAACCGTCCAAACCATTTACCATGATCTATAGTGATATTTGGGGACCATCTCGGGTCGCATCTTTACATGGGTTTCGATGGTTTATTTCATTTATTGATGATCACACTCGTACTACCTGGACATTTCTCATGAAAACCAAATCTGAAGCTTGTGAAATATTTAAACGGTTTCATAAGATGGTTGAAACTCAATTTCAGTGTTCAATCCAAATGTTTCATTCTGAAAATGGTAGTGAGTATTTTGCCAATGTTTTGGGTTCTTTCTTTCAGGAAACCTGGATTATTCATCTTACTTCATGTGTCAATTCTCCTCAACAAAATGGGATTGCTAAGCGAAAAAACAGGCATATTCTTGAGGTTACTCGGTCTCTACTTTTTTTCACAAATATTCCTAACTATTTTTGGGGGAAACCCTTTTAACTACCACTTATTTGATTAACCGTCTCCCTAGTAAACCGTTATAATTTAAGTGTCCGAGAGATGTTTTTCTTTAGTTTTTTCCCAATTTTAAATCGATGACTTCATTGTTACCCCTTAGAGTTTTTGGTTGTACTGTGTTCGTTTATAACAATGTTCCTTTCAGTTCCAAATTAGATCCTCGAGCATTTCGGTGTGTGTTTCTGGGTTATTCATCGACTCAAAAGGGCTTTCGGTGTTATTATCCTCGTAGAAAGAAATTCTTTATTACTATGGATGTTACTTTCTTTGAAAAAAATAACTTTTTTCCTTAAAACTGCTATTCAGGGGAAGCATATAATGAATATCAGTTTATTGACTCACGACAATTGTCACTTGATTTGCAGCCAGTTCTTTTTGATCAACCAGCACCGTCAAACCAGTTAAACCAGTCGAATAAGCCTACAAAATCGCTACAGCCAGACCAAACAACACTACCAAACCCAAAAAACGTATCCTTGCCAAACTAGTCCACCGAAACACATTTACCTCGACATGATCAACATATCACTTCGCCTCAAATACCTCAATTCGAGTTGCAGATTTACAAGAGACGAAAAAAAACCAATTTCTAAATCAATCCCTGAACCTAATCCCGAGTCCCCCACACAGCATGGACATTGTCATGAACCGGAACCGAACGAGAATCCTTTGGAGAATGAAGAAGGTAATCAGAGTTCTTCCACTGAATTAAATGTTTTAATTTATGATAATGACTTGCCGATTGATCAAAGGAAAGGAGTAAGAAAATGCAGAAATTATCCAAATGAGAGATTTGTTGCATATGGAAAGCTAACGCCTTGTTTTAAGAACTTTATAGCAAGTGTAGATAGCATTACTGTTCCAGATACGGTGGAAGAAGCATTGAAAGATCCCAATTGGAAAAAGGAAGTAGAAGAGGAATTAAAAGCACTGGAAAACAACAATACTTGGATTATAGTTGATCTTCCGAAAGATAAAAAACCAGTCGGCTGCAAATGGGTATTCACGGTAAAATACAAAGCTGATGGTAGCATTGAAAGATATAAGGCGAGATTAGTGGCGAAAGGATTCACTCAATCTTTTGGAGTTGATTATCATGAAACCTTTGCTCCGGTAGCAAAACTAAACACTGTGAGAGTGTTACTGTCATTAGCAGTTAATGAGAATTGGGTGCTTCATCAGTTAGACATCAAAAACGCATTTCTAAACGGAAACTTGGAGGAGGAAGTATATATGTGAATTCCACCGGGTGTGAAGAGTAATACAAGAAAAGCATGTAGATTACTAAAGTCCTTGTATGGACTTAAGAAATCTCCAAGAGCCTGGTTTGACAGATTTACAAAGGTGATTATTCAGGATGGTTACAAACAATGTCAATCAGATCACACTTTATTTGTCAAAACATCTTCAAACAACAAAAAGGCAATTTTGATTGTCTATGTGGATGATATCATTCTAACAGGTGATGATTGCATGGAGATAGAAAGATTGAAAAAGCTACTAGCGAAGGAGTTCGAAACCAAAGACTTGGGAACTTTACGATATTTTTTAGGCATGGAGGTTGCAAGGGCAAAAGAAGGAATAGTGATCAACCAAAGGAAATATATCCTTGATCTACTATCAGAAACTGGAATGAAGGGATGTAAGCCGACTGAAACACCCATGGAAGCAAATCTGAAGCTAAGGAGAGAAGAATTAGGAAGTCCTGTGAACAAAGAACAGTATCAAAGGCTAGTAGGTAAACTAATTTATTTATCTCTTACTAGACCTGATATTGCGTTCCCTGTCAGTATAGTGAGTCAATATATGAATTATCCAAGAGAAGAACATTTAGAGGCTGTGAATAGAATTCTAAGATACTTGAAAATGACACCAGGACATGGATTAATTTTTAGAAAGAGTGATGATAGAACAGTAAGAATTTTTTCGGATTCAAGCTAGACAGGTGAATTAACGGATAGAAGATCTACAACTGGTTATTGTTCATTTGTTTGGGGAAATCTGGTTACTTGGAGAAGCAAAAAACAGGCGGTGGTGTCTCGAAGTAGTGCAGAAGCAGAATTTAGAGCAATGTCACTTGGAATTTGCTAAGGAATTTGGCTTCAAAGAATGTTAACTGAGATGGGGTTATGTGCCAACAAATGGTTTGAACTTCAAAGTGACAGTAAATATGTAATAAGTATTGCAAAGAATCCAGTTCATCATGACCGAACGAAGCATGTGGAGATTGACAGACATTTCATCTCTGAAAAGGTTAATGGTGAAACGGTGAAGCTCAATTATGTTTCAACGAAGAATCAGTTAGCAGATATTCTCACCAAAGCACTTCCAAGAATTACCTTTGATGAGATTATATCCAAGTTGGGTCTTTTCAACATTTACTCCCCAACTTGAGGGGGAGTGTAGGTTATGCAATAGATAAGTTAGTATTTTAATATAACACTAACTCTTAGAAAGTTAGATAGATAAGGATAACTACTAAGTAGTTTACTTCTAATGGAAAACTTACTCCTAACTTTTCCTATAAAAAGATGTATTTTCACCATTCACAATATATAATAAAAAGAGTTCATTTTCTTCTCCACTATGTTGTTTACTCTTTATCAACAGGTGACATGGCTGATGTGGCATATACCATGTCATCACTTCGAGTGAAATAGCACATGCCACTCATCAACTAAGCGCGTGTAAAAATGTAAAGTTAACATGTGTTAATTATTAGTCAACTAATAGTTTTTATCCAACATGGGTTATTTTGATCAAAATTGAAACTTTGGGAGGTAAAATGTTAAAAAAAATAGGGGCCAAAAGTGACCATCTGTGCAAACGTTGGAGAATAATTTTATCATTATGCCAAAGAAAAAAAAAGAATAGTAAACTTACTTAAGGATTAGTGCCATCGGTAACTTTCTTGTACTCCGGTTTCAGTTCATATGATCCTTGATTAGTTCCCTTGTTGTTGTATATACAGAGGTCTTTAAGTATATCTTTCAGAAATTGCTTCAAAGAGAAAGTATAAAGGAGAAACAGAAAACCGTAAGCTATTGACCGGAATGCAATACGACAATATGTGCCGTTTATGCTTCGAGCCAATGACAATACATCTTTCAAATGCCATATTTAGTGGAAGCCAATAAGTTATACCCCGACTTTTTTTGCAGATTAATGATCCATATAGAAAAATCGAACGTAAGTGTTGAAAAAGGGTCAGCTAGCATTGAATTAATAGGAATGCCATTAGCATTAAGGTTTCAAAAGTTACCGTGACGGTAGAAATAATCAAGTAAGAAACATACTTCTGGTTGGTCTGTGTCTTGAATCAGTTGTCTTAAAGTCCAATTCGTTTGCCTTTCAAAGAGCTTAAACATAATATCTTCCATCGCTCCACGACCCCTCCGTGTTCGTTTTGTATCTGATGTCTTGGTAGGTGCCTTCTTCTTTTCCTATTGTAGACACGTCAGCTCTTCTCATGCATATGGTGGACAGATTATAAATATATTCTCATTCCATCTATGAGAGCGGATGAAAACAGACCCCACAGGAAATATCAGTAAAAGAACATAATATCTAGATAATTCTACATGTAAAGAAAGTAGGTATGTGTACATTGAATACAGCAGCGATAATCATCCCTGGCATTGGCCTCATGTGCGATCCATTGTCATTATCGATGACCTGAAATGTAGAATAGAGGAAAAGTGAGGGAAAGGGGATAAAGTAATGTAAAATGTAGTAAATTATAACACCAAAAATACCGCATAGGAAATAAGGACACAAACATATAAAGTAATTATTAGAACCTGTACCTGTCTGGATTTGTTCATAGATTTGTTTGTCTGTTCACGGCAGAGTTTCCCATAGTTCTCGATGTTTTCATCATGAGGTCTCATGTCAAACTTGTTTAGTATTTCCCCTTCAACTGCAAGCTTTCCTGCAACACAAGACAAATTTCATAAATATCAAGAGTAGTGTTTCTCAATATAGAATCTCCAACCTGAGTTTTCTTTTTAAGTTCATCTTGAGTTAACAAGAAAATTGCGAATTTATTCACTGCACTATTTTAGAGAACAGAAAGAAAGACGAATTATAGCAGTACAATTTAGCCTGCTAATAAGAGAAGAATTAATATCCCAATTTCCGTGTAAAGTGACGGCATAAGACTTGACTAGAAGGAGTTCAAAGACGGATATCATGTAAAATACAAGATGACAAACTTAGTAATAGAAACATTTCATCCATGTCAAGTGAAGTATAAAGGCTGGTGTCTCCTGGAATGACACATGCTTACCTTGGGATGTCTGTGAAAACACAGACATTGGAACAAAGTCTTTGGTCATGTCCATGGAATAGCGCTTCGGTACATCTCCAGTTTCTGTGCCAACCAAATCCATGGTAAACTGAGGTTCAACAAACAACTTATGTAAGAAAAACCCAATCAAAGCATTATTATTCTAAGTAAAAGAACATGATTCCACCCTGCACACTCGACTTATAAAGAAATATCTATCAAAATTGATTGACAAGTTCCGAACAACATCAAAAAACAAGGAATATGAACATGATGATCGTGACAGGCAAATTATGGAAAGTAAAACAATGTAATTGAAATCACAGGGACCCGAACGTATGAAACACCTAGAAAGAGTAAATACAGAGCTACCTAAATTGTTTCAAGACATTGACGCCCCATTTGTGAATTTCTCATCCAAATGAGATTGAAATGCTACCCAACTCCATTTAGAACAAATGGTAAGCCCTGAGAGGTTAAGCATTTTTGTTATAATTCCTAAAGGTTTGTTCAAGCTCTCGATCATTAAACATCATTTGCTAAGGTCTTCAACCACTTCTGAAACCATATTATTTCTTTCAGCTAACTTTCATCAACAGTGATAGTCATAACTTAAAGTTTTATGGTTTCAACTTTCAACTAACTCCATTACTACGATTACTGCTATCACCATCAAGCCTTTCTCTAAAGCATCGATCACAAATAAAAAAACCAAACACTCAACAGCACAACTAGGAATAATATATGTACATATAAACACACATATACATATATCAGCCAATGCCACTAATATAACAAGATTCATTCTTCCATATGAACATCATAATAATTCTAGGAAAAATGTTCATCTCTCTATAACTAACAAACCATTCATGCAAGAAATTTCTTGTGAATTAACATATAAGTTCACCCAAAAAGAACAAAACACATTATTTGCTTAAGGATAGGCATAGGACCGAATACGACGAGTTCCGACCCGACCCGACCCATGGCCATCCCTACGGGTAAGTGACAATTAAAAATCATGATTTTGAGACGTTGATAATAAAGACCTTAATGTGCTTCAACATGTTTTTCAATGCATTGCGAAGTGTTTTTTTTTATGTGCCAATTTAAGCACTCATTGAGCTTTTATGAACCCACAATTAATTTCATAAATTTTACAGAGAAATAGAACTTACGAAGGTTGAAGGATTAAACAAGTGGGAGATTCATGCAAAACCATTTGATAAAAATATATCTGATTTTAGAACCTTCTTTTAATAAGGTTATACGATAATCCTTTTAATCAAATTTATTTTATTTATAATGCGAAGATTCAAAGTTCAAACTTTATTTAAAGAATAAGGTCTTGTCCCACTAAAACCAGCTGACTGCTAATATCATTTTTTTATATTTAAATTAAGTACTAATAATATGTAGTTATGGATTAAATTTGAGCGAATAAGATGAAAATTAAATTTATTGGCTACAAAAGCAATTAATAGTGACAATAGCAATATCAGCTACATTTATTTGGTGAGTTCCACAAACAAAGAGAGAAGATTTTTAATATAATCATCCATCTCCTATTCGGAACAGACAAGTTGATTACTTGTATTCATATCGCACTTCTGACGGCAGCAATCATAATAGGTTCTGCAAGGTGCACCCTTCAACCTGCAGCAATACCATTCTACACAGACGTAGTAATCGGGAGAAACGAATTCAGCTGCGATCGGACTCTGGGACCGTTCCTCGGCTACTGCGACTGCGGCCAACGTTCCTAAAACAACCACCAGCACAACCGCAACCACCTGAAAACAACATTTATTGCACTCCATTTCTTTTCTTCTTCCGAGTAATGTAAAATCGGTTATGTGTTGCTCAAAGTCCTTTGATTTATATATGCACGATGATGATGATGATCCAGAGGGCATTAATATATATGCAATTCAAGTACGTTTCTTAATCTCAACTTTGTGATCTAAATTCGTAACTGCATAGAGTTACAGAATAATTAAAGTAGTGGGTTCTTAGAGTTATAGAATAATTCATTCTTTCGAACATTTCATTATCAGTACATGGTTATCATTCTTTTGGTTATTCAACATAATGATGAGCTACTAATGCAGACATATCACCTCTAAGGGCATTAAGGTCTAAAACTATGGGAATAACATAATACCTAAGAAATCTAAAGGAATAGCATTCACGTCCTGAACTCAAAAACACGGTACTGTTGGTAAGACTACACACAAAAGTTTATGTAAATGTTGCGTTCGAACTTAAAACCTCTAGAGATAATCTCTATTTTTTTTTTTGTAGAATATTTTTTAATCAGATGATATAAAATTTTGCTAATAATTGCCAATTCATTGTGTTGAATATATTATATAGATGAATTTATAAGAAAAAATAGTTTGAGTAATGTTGGTCCTTAAACATTTTATTATATATTCAATCAATATATTAAGGGTTAACTACATGGATGATCACTTATGATTGCATTTTGTCCACTTTTGGTCATTGATTTTAAAATACATAAGATATGATCACCTTCTTTCTTCTTTAATTAAGATGTAGTCACCACGAGTTAACTGTTATTAAATATTTTGGTATAATCACACATTTGATCATGTTATTTACATATTCTCTCAATGTAGTCATACTTTTAATAAATTAAAATAAATTTAATCCTCCAATCGAATGATGCCACTGTCATTGGTATCATGTGTCATGTCATGTGTCACCATTCGGTTGGAAGACTAACTATATTTTATTTTATTTTATTTTATTTTATTTTAACAAAGCAAAGAAAATTGGTATAAAATAAATATATTAAATTAAAATATAAAGTTAGTCCTCCAACCGAATGGTGACACGTGACACGACACATGGCACTGATAACACGGGACATCATTCGATTGGAGGATTAAATTTATTTTAGTTTATTAAATGTATGTCTACATTGAGAGAACATGTAAATAACAATGACCATATGTGTGATTATACCAAAATACCACGTAACTTAATCTGTTAACTGTTAACGACAATTAATCCGTAGTGATCACATCTTAAATAAATAAAAACAAAAGTGATCATATCTTAATTAAATAAGAACAAAAAGTGATAATCATCAATCATATCTTATGTATTTTAAAATCAGTGACCAAAAGTGGACAAAACACAAACATAAGTGATCATCAGTGTAGTTAACCCATAAATTATTTTTTCAGGCCGATTATTAACAATTTAACATTGTAAAAATAATGAAATCAAATTATATAAAATTAAAGTGCAAGATTCAATCCTAAGTTCAAAGATGATAGGAAATAAAACTATTTTTTTTATTAACCCCATGTATATATTGATTAATCTAGGATAAATACAAGGTAGTATCCATCCAAAGATAATTCATTATCATTTGACATTAAACACTCACACATCTGATATTTATAGTGCTTGAACATGAGACCTCAAGGAATAACAACAATTCTTTTATCAAGGAAATTGTTTGCTTCGTGCTAACCACATGTATTAGATATGAACATATGGGGAAGGTAGAAGATATCAACTTTATATGGGTGGTTACATGTACCTTTCGTTGGTTGAATTAATTTGTGGGCTCTATTTTCGTTAGGTCATCATTACCCTCTTTATATAAACGAACTTCCCTATGGATTGAAATTCATCTTCAAGGAAACTCCGATTAACTGTAATGGTGATGGTGTTACTTTTGACGACGACAAGACTACTTCGTCCACAAAGATTGTGGTAGTAGCATCGTCGCCAAAAGAAGCACAACCCCTATAACAGTGATTTAAACAGAAACTTTCTTGAATTCCCCCATTCTTTCTCCAGGTAATCAAGGAACGCAATGGCGGCGACGATAATTTTAGCTACGTCGAGACTTCTTCGACAACGGGTATTCAAAAAACTGTCGTAGTAATATAGTGGCTAAAAGTAACACAGCCACCATGATAGTGATTTAAACAGAAACTTTCTTATTTTTGCAGGTAATTAAGATGTGTATGTGTGGAAGACACTAAAACGTAATTATGTATGTAGGTTATGTTAATATATAAAAATTAACCAACAAGAAATTGGTTTAATGGGTTAAAAGTCTGTCATGTCCTTATTGTTGGGAAATAAACGAGTAACGAGTAATTTCCCTATAACCAGATTAGTGAGAATGCGAAATAAAAGCGGAAAAATAATACCCGGAATTGATAACGGAGTTCAGCCAATTTGCCTGCGTCTCCGGACTACTGCAGATATTTGACTAAAGAGAGAAAATTTACAGGTGTTTACAAAACACTCGCTACTCACAAGAAACTCTCTAGTATTGGGAGAAAGAAATGATTTTGAAGCTAAATGAGCTAGGGTATTTATAGTTAAAACATAGGGACTAATCTTGAAATTACCCTAAAATCCAATGACTAAAAATGTAATTAACCTAAGCCAAAATTCAACAAAATTAGGCAGCCACCTATATAGCAGCCCATGTGTTGCATGTGTTGCCATCCAACTTTGACTTCCAACAATCTCTCACTTGAAGACTGATTTTAATCTGTCTTCACACCTCGATCAATACAACAGCTTTTCTAGTCTTGTTACTCTAGCATACCAACTGAAGTTGAACACAACTTCAGTTTGTCCGTAGCCACCGTCTTTGTTAACATGTCTACCGGATTTTGAGCTCCTCTAATCTTTTTAAGTTTCAAAATCCCATCTTCCAGAAGAGACCGGATTAAATGATATCGTAATTGTATGTGTTTCATCCTGGAATGAAAAGACGGATTCTTTGCTAGATGGATAGCACTTTGACTATCGCAATACAAGGCATTGTTTTCTTGTTTCTTGCCTAACTCTTCCAAGAAACTTTGGAGCCAAACCATCTCCTTGCTGGCTTCCGTAACAGCGACATATTCTGCTTCAATTGTGGAGAGAGAAACTATCTTCTGTAGTTGAGAAACCCAACTCACTGCGGTTCCTCCTAGAGTATAGACATACCCTGTAGTGCTCCTTCTGATGTCAACATTTCCGGCTAAGTCAACATCTACATAGCCTGTCAGTATCGTATGTCCACCTTTGAAACAAAGTGCTTTGTTTGTGGTGCCCCGCAGATATCTGAGGATCCATTTGACTGCTTCCCAGTGTACCTTGCCTGGATTATTCATGTACCTGCTAACAGCTCCCACTGCTTGAGCAATATCTGGTCTGGTACAAACCATGTTATACATCAGACTTCCAATTGCTGAGGCATACGACACCTTCACCATGTGTGCACGTTCTTCCTAAAGTTCTTTGGAGAGTCTGAAACGAACACCTAAAGGTGTACTTACTGGTTTAACATCTTGCATGTTGAACCTGGAGAGTACTTTGTTGATGTACTCAGCCTTTGATAATATCAAAATCCCCGACTTTTTGTCTCTCTTGATCCTCATCCCAAGAATATGCTTTGCAGCGCCCAGATCCTTCATAGCAAATTGCTTTTACAATTTTTGATTCAAGTTTATAATCTCTTGCATGTCTGAGCCTGCAACGAGCATGTAATCAACGTACAACAATAAAATAATGAAGCTATTGTCGAACCTCGTGATGTAGCAACAATGATCTGCTTGGCATCTGGTAAAACCATTGCTACCCATGAAACTATCAAACTTCTTGTACCACTGTCTAGGAGCTTGTTTTAAACCATACAAGCTCTTCTTCAACCTGCATACCAGGTTTTTCTTTCCTGCCTCTATGAAGCCTTCTGGCTGCCTCATATAGATTTCTTCCTCAAATCACCATAAAGGAAAGATGTCTTTACATCTAATTGCTCAAGATGTAAATTCTCTACAGCTACAATTTTCAACACCAGTCTAATTGTAGATAGTTTCACGACTGGAGAGAAAATTTCATTGTAGTCAATACCTTCTTTTTGCTAAAAGCCTTTGACAACCAATCTTTCTTTGTGGCGTTTGCTCTCATTGTGCTCTTCTTTGATCCTGTAAATCCACTTTTTATGAAGTGTTTTCTTGCCTGGTGGTAATTCAGCTAATTCCCATGTTTGATTTGACATAAGCGAGTCCATCTCATCTTTCATAGAAGACTCCCACTTGATTGAATCCTCCACTTGCATTGCTTCATCATAGCACTCTGGTTCACCATTGTCAGTCAGCAACAAGTAGTGCAAAGAAGGAGAATACTGTTGGGTTGGTTTAGGAATTCTTTAGGAGCGTCTCAGTTCTGGTGTGCCTGGTTCTTCTTGAACTGCTTCAGGACTGATCTGAACATCATTTCCAGAAATCTCCTCGAACTCAGCAAATTTCTTTGTTTCAGCTTCGGTGTTTGAGCTACTTGATTCTATGGTTGATTTGTCTTTGTACATCACACTCTCATTGAAAATGACATCTTTGCTTCTGATGATCTTCTGATTTTCATAGTCACAAAACCGGTAACCGAACTCATCACCGCCATAGCCAACAAAGGAACATTTGTTGGACTTAGCACCAAGTTTACTTCTTTCAACAGAGTCTATGTGTACATAAGAAATACAACCAAACACTCTTAAGTGTGAAAGGTTTATTTCTTTCTTGCTCTAAACTTCCTCTGGTATTTTTCCATTTAAGGGAACTGAGGGCCCACGGTTGATCAGGTAAGTTGCAATGTTGATAGCTTCAGCCCATAGCAATTTAGGCAAGTCGGCGTGTATTCTCATGCTTCTGGCACGTTTATTCAGAGTTTTATTCATGCGCTCTGCTACGCCATTCTGTTGCGGTGTCATGTGAACTGTTCTCTCCATCTTGATCCCATTGTTTGCAAAAAATTCTTTGAATGTACTATTTTTGTACTC